ATCACTGGGGAACCTACTAGAATACAGTTCCGTTTGGTTCAGTGCATCTCTCCTCCCTTGGCTTCCAAGCCAGTTCTGAGTAAGGGTCGAGTAGAAGAAGAACCGTATTCCTAGCTTCCCCCGCTTTGGCTAAATGTTCCTTGGGCTTATTGAGTCCACATTACTTTTGTTCATGGACTGAAGCTCTTCCTCAATTCACCCCCTTTTCTTTTACTGGATATTGTGACACAACTGGCCACGCTCGGGGTCACTAGCAGAGAGACCCTTCTGGAGAAGCATCCAGAGATGATGCCAAATACATCGGCACCACTTGGCTCCTTTCGTCCAGGTTGCTGTGGCCCCCAGTGGCACAAGGACTCCCGTGGGTCTGCTCGTGGCTGCCTGCCCCTGACCTTGCAGCGTGTCTGGGGTACGGAAGCGGAGGGCATGTGTACATGTGTGTGTTTCCAGAGGGCCAGAGTGCCCACCCCGATCACCTTGATTCTTCCTGTATCTCTTGCTTATGTCGGCCTGCCCAGCATCCGGCTGGATCCCGGGAGTTCAAGGAAGCTTCGTATTCAGGGACCTCACTTGGATGAGCCCCTTTTGCAGGCTTGGCAGGGACTCTGTGCTTTTGTGTTCATAATTGGGTGTTCTTTTAAAAAAAAGAGGTTCTCAGGGAAGCATCAGACCCCACAATACTTGGATCTGTCTTCACTTGGCACAAAGGGTACTTCTGTGAAAGTTTTACAACGTGTCCCTTTTGGGCCAGACATGTCCCAAAAAGCATGTCCGCTATGGGAGTCAGCTAGAAAAAGTCTCTTTTCTTCGTGTGTGGACACAGCGTCACCTCTGGCCCCCTGGCTTGTATCCCCTTGGCCTCGGCAGTCTCGAGAGGGCACCATCAGTCCACCTGCACCGTTAGGGTCTTCAGAACTGTTTTTACTTGTAGAGTTTCTTGCTCATTCATTCCCCAAAGTAAATAATGAAATCTATCCATCGGTCATCTGTTATCTAGCTACGCTATCTGTCATTTATCTCCCATCTGTCTGTCCTGTCTGTCTTTTTTTTTTAAGTTTATTTATTTTGAGAGAGAGAGAGAGAGAGGGAGAAAGAGCTCATGAGAGGGGAGGGGCAGATGGGGGGTGGGAGAGGGGGAGAGAGAGAGAGAGAGAGAGAGAATCCCAAGCATGCTCCACACTGTCCACACAGAGCCCGATGTGGAGCTTGAACTGTGAGATCATCACTTGAACCGAAATCAAGAGTCGGACGCTTAACTGATTGAGCCACCCAGGGGCCCCTGTTCTTTCTGTCTCTTTATCTATCATCTATCTATTCCTTTATGACCTTCTACTTTTCCTAAAATATAACTCTTAGACCATATCTCACATGCTTGAAAATATCAGACGGAATACAACAATCCATTCTCTTTTAAAGTTTTTAAATTGTTTCCAGAAGAATTCACATAGCATGCAACTTGGTATTGTGGGGGGAAAAAGAGTTAATCTTCTGTTTTACCAGAGCTAATTTTCTTTTCCTTAAGAACAGCATCATCAAATCTTTATGGTACATTTCAATCCCCCCCAATCACGATTGCTGCATTGCATCCTCTTAGACTGTATGGTTTCACCCAGGCATAGAATTCCGTTTAGTCCTACAAATGCATATGGTTCCATTAAGAACAATCCGATCAGGATCACGAACAGAATGAAAAACACATGGTTTCACTTTCTTTTATTTTTGAGACAAATCAAATAATCCATAATGAAGTGACTCTGGATTGGGTCTTCTATATGGCTTTCATATGCTTTGTACAAAGACCTGAAGGACATACGGTTGAATTGCGGCACTGATCGGATGACAAGCAGGGATTTTGCTTGCTGACCCCGACAGCATCTTGGCTCCCGGGCTCTCCCTGAGGGCCGCTGCACGTTAGGATGTCAGGGAGAGCGGGTTCTGTTGGGTTCTCCCCACTGCAGACTGGCAGGTGCCCTACCCGTTAGTCAGGTGCTGCTGTGTGACCTTGTGCAAGTTCCTAATCTCTCTGTCCTCGCTCCTTGTCTGTGTGATCCCGGTAACCATGAGTGCTAATGAGTCATAAACATGTGTTGAGTGCCAACGGTATGAAAGGCATGGAGTCTCCACCAGGGGGATACAGGGAGCTCCCCCTGGCCCCAGGAACACCGCAAGTTCCTGTTTTCAAAGAGGCTTAGAGTGGGGTGTACATGGGAGGTCGGAGGTGGTGGGAGTGGACATACTCAGTCTGCACAGAGCCCTCTGCTCCTGGGCATTCCTCTGTGGGCATTCCTACTCCCTGCCCTCACCTAAAAGCCACAAAGCAGGGAGGTCACCGGGTCCAGGGCGCTTTTATCAAACGTTAGATTCCAAGGGGCCTCCTGAGGATCAAGGATTACTTGATTTGCTTCCCGTTTGCCATTTTCAAAGGCGCCACCCTCCGCCTCCCCTGCGCTTCCAGACCGGGCTCCCGGCCGGGGCCCTCGTGGCTGCAGAAAGCCCATCCCATTCGGAGGATGGTGATTTCAAGTGGGAAATGAGGAGGGGGTGGGGAGATGAACCCTTGGCAAACGTCCTTTTTCTTGCCGACGCGTTCGGTGTTGGAGGACCGGGCAAAGGCGCAGCGAGAACACGCCGTGTGGGGCAGAAGCCTGGATGGCGCACGCGGTGTCTTCCCTCCGCTGGTCCTGTGGCGCCTGGAGGCCACCGCGTGCTGAGCCTCCCGTGAATCTCCCTGCTGGTGGGTGCGCGGGGCAGGGGGCGGGGGACTCGGGGGGGTGTCGGCTGTGCTCTGTCCCGCCAGCAGCTGGGACGGCCATCCTGCATCCTGAGAAAACAGACTCCAAGACTCGAAACCGCACCGGGCCCCGGCCAAGTGCAGTGAGCGTGAGGCAAGGCCCCTGCTCACGTCACAGCCTGATTTGCCAAGGACCCCTGACTCCCATCCCCACGGTGATGCCTGGCACGGCTGCCTGAAATGACAGGAACAATGTCCCAGCTCAGTGTCCCGTATGGACACTGAGCATCCTGGCTGCTTGCGTTCCTCAGGTCTTCATTGTTTTGACCTTGACGTTTCGAACACCCATCTCTTCTCACCATCGAGACCGTGCCCGTCGCGTCCCACACAACCTGGCTGGCGCCCTGCCTGCTCCTTGCTCCTGGATGTCCGCTCCCCTTCACAGCTCTTTGCTCGTGGACCCTCAGGTGTTTCTTTACCCTGTGTCTTTCCGGCCGCATTACGGACGGGGTCTGTCTTTCGTGCACTTTTGCAGCTCTGTCCTTGCGTACAAGAGTGTCGGCAGACCTTTAGGGACGCGCCCCGAAGGGAGGACCTGGTGATTCCTGGTGGTGCTTTTAGGTTTGGTTTTGATTTTGGCGAGGGTGCAGAGGGTGGCCTGCAAACCAGTGACAGCCAGTCCCAATCCCTTGGCACCCAGCTTAGTTTTTAACTTCAATTTTATCAATCGGTTTGTATCACGTATTTCACACAGGCTTTGCTGGGCTAAATGCGGCCAATCCCATAATGCAGTAGCCCAGGGAGGTGGATAGCGGTCTGCAATACCATCTCCAGGGTGGCTGTGGAAGTTTGGGTGACGTACACAGGGGACCCGGGGAGGGGCTAAGGAGGATGTGGTCAAAAACCAGAACAGCGAAGACCTCCCTTCTCATTTTGCTACCTTGATGCCCTCAAAACTTGGGGTCTTGCTTTCGAGGATGGCCTCAGAGTGCTGGGACACCTGTTACATACCACCCTACCACTGGTCCTGTAGGTTTTGGTAGCGTGTTTGCCTTGGATCCCGTTGTGCCCGCAGACAGCCAGACCACCCGCTGATCTGCTTGTGCTGGGTCACACTTGCTATTCAGCCTGTGTGGCCACAGATGGCACCATTGCTGACGAAAGCAGGGTCTTAACATACCCTCAGCGTCCCCAGCACTCCTCTGGTTCTTTGAGCACAGCGGGTGTCCTGTAACTGGGGGGACACACAGGTGCTCACAGAGCCTCCAGCCCCGAGGTTTGTCAAGTGTCAGCTTTAACAGGAAGACCTCAAGGTACAGTGCGTCACAGTAGCTTTTTGACATTGTCAAGTTACAATCTCATTAAGCCTGTGGGGCATATGTTTTACGAAGTGTCTTCACTTGAATAAGAGTCACCGTGTGGATCGAAGAGAAATTTCGATGTCCCGCCTACATTTTTCACCATCTCCACTAGTCTGCTTGCTGCTTTGAGAAGTATTTTTTCAAGGTAGTGAGCAGTGTTTTACTAAATCTACTTCCTCTGTAGATATTCGTTAATGATTTCCCCCCCTTCCTATGAATCCCCAAACTCTTTCAGAAATAACAGACTGGTATATCTGCCTATTCACTATGAACGCATTTGTAGTCATCATGTATGCCTCATAGACTTGATCTCAAGGATTTTATACTTTTGATTGAAGATGAGTACTTATTATATTATGGTTCTTATGGGGGGGGGGGAAGCTGAGAATGATGATTTTGGTTCCTCAGGAATGCTGTATAGACATACCCATACATAGTTAAGTTTTTAAATGATGAACATATATTACTTTTTAACTCAGCATAGATGAACATTTAAAAAACAAACCTTGTTTTTGATACAGAAGGTACAATTGAGGACCAGTGTCATGCAGCTAAGTCCTACCCAGTTACATGTACGCAGACCCCTGTATTTCCATCCCTGCACTGATGAGGTAGACATTAAAATGGGTCTGGCTCAGGCAGAGTCTGCCAGCTCTGTCCTTTGGAGACGTGAGCGCTGCGAGCGGCTCTGCCCAGGGGGACCAGGGCCCGTCACAAGGCCCGCTGCGGCCACAGGAGTCACCCAGGCCCCCACGCCCGGGCCGGAACCTCAGTGCACTCGTAAACCCTCCCTGGCTTTGTTTCCCGTCCCTTGCAGGCAGCCTGGTGGACTCATCTGGTCATATTCTGATCCCTGGAATCTATGACCAAGTGGCTCCTCTTACGGAAGAAGAGAGAAAAATGTACAAAGCCATTGATCTGGACCTGGAGGAATACCGGCGTAGCAGCCACGTTAAGAAATTTCTGTTTGACACCAAGGTATGCTCACAAGTTGATGGCTGATCTGAAAGAGGAATGACAGTAATAAATCATATTTTCCCAATTCCTGATTTACTGTGTTCTGCTCATCCACACGTCTCAGAACTGAAAGCAGATGTTAATTCCGAGGCAGATTTTCACTTTCGTGGCCACTTACTTCCCTAAGGTCTAGATCAACCAGAAGTCTGTGTGGGGTCTGCCCAGCACTGGCCTCGGGCGTGTAACCTTGGGGCAGCCACCCATCTCACAGACATGCTTTTCCAAATCAGTTTATTAGACCCAATGCGTTCAGCTGTCTGCGCTTCCTGTCTGCTCAAAGATTGGGAAGAGTCTGGTCGTTCCAGTTCCAAGACCCCCAGCTGCTCATTGTAATAGACAAAATCAAGAGCCCTGGGGGCTAATCTGCGAGCTACTACATTGCCGCCTCAGTGGAAGTAAACCAGAGCCCAAAGCGTTCATTTCTGGCAGATTTGGACGGTTTCTGTCCCCTTCTCCCTCTTACTCTTTTTGAGACCTCTGCTGCTCTGGTGTGTGGTGGCTGGGGGACCTGCCACGAGGAGGGGGAGCCCTGCTGAACAGACGCGACGGAGTTTGTTACCGCAAAGTGTGTCTCTTCCCTCAGACCAGCTCCGCCTTGGTCACAGCAGCAAAGAAAACTGGCTCAACCGTACGCAGAGTCCTTTGAAGCCTTCTGAAAAAAGAAAATGCTTTTACTACACAACCTATCATCGTGATGCTTGGGGGTAGAAACTCACAAGCAAGCCCCAAATTCTGAAAGGGCCCCTTTGCCATCTATTAACTTGAGTGCGCGAGTGACGAGGGGCCCTCATCGGTCGAGAGGCTCGGTCAGCCAGAGGCACAGAGGCAGCAGAGTGTCTCGGGTCTGGAGGGGAAATCCCACTTGTCTGGCTAGTCCAGACACATCTGAGGAAGGTGATAATTAGCTTGTCACAAACAGCGCTAGAGATGCACAGAAATCGGCGATACAAGCGATACAATTGAACAGTTTTACTTGAGCTTCTTTAATTTAGTAAAATGATTTTATTTTAATTCAGGAGGAAATTCTAATGCACCTATGGAGGTACCCATCGCTGTCAATCCACGGGATCGAGGGTGCATTTGATGAGCCTGGAGCTAAAACCGTCATCCCTGGCCGAGTTATCGGAAAATTTTCAATCCGTCTGGTCCCTCACATGAATACGTCTGTGGTGGAAAAACAGGTGACAGATGTGCATTGGCCCATTTCTGAGGGCCGTCTCCCACGGCTTAGTGGGCTATTCAGTTGTTGGCACTGACGTATCATTTTTTCCCAACATAAAAGGGATTGTAACACACGTCAAGAAACCAATATAATTTTTGTTTGGTGAAATCTCTTTCTGTAATTGTATGCAATTACAGTAGTCAGACAAATAACCGTTTGGGGTTGGAGTGATGGGAAATATTTTTACATTAAACAGTTGACAGAAAGGCAAGATTGGTTTACACACAGATGGAAAAGCTGATTGCCTACGGCCGGATGGAGCCGGAAATGCTGAAGCCTGTAGTTAGTTTGCCCGTTGGTGTCTGAAATCAGTACTCTGAAAGCAGCCATTTTAATGAAAATGTTATCTGGAAGGAGTTACATGTCCAAATTATCAACCTATCATCAGTTTACCTCCAGTTCAACAGAAAGTAGGCTCTGGATAAATGGGCTCCAAGAATACCTCTTCCCAACTCTCTCTCATTGACCTCTTTTATTGTCTTCTTAGCACTAATTACATCCCCAAATACCCGCCTTCCCAGTCTCTGTCCCTGTTTTTCCCCCTCCCTCCTTCTCTTTTTGGACATATTGTTTCTCTTTCTCAGGAGATACGTATCCCCACGAGGGCAGGCCTGTCTTCCTCTTGCTCACAGCCGTGTTCCCAGCACCTAGGACAGTTCCTGCCACATGACAGGCAGTCAATAGATGTTTGTTGAAGGAATGAATGGGAGGGATATTTCAGAGTATAGTTTTTCTTGGGAGAATTTCCATTGTGGCAACTGGAATGGAGCCCAGGGGACAGAGAAGGACTCTGATCAAATGCTCTTTTATAGCTTAGCTCAGAATTGCCCCCACTTTCCGGAAATTTCCAAAAGCATAACGTTCCCACAATAGTCACTAAGGTACTGACGAGTTAAAAAGGAGGGATATTCAAATTGAGAAGTTGTATTGTTTCCTAATTACCAAAATTCATAATAACCAGGCGTCGGAAGTCTGACACTGTAGTCAGATGGGCGGGCGGAGGGCTGAGGACTGCAGGGTCCTGAGACAAGTGTTTCTGTAACCACTGAAGCTCTCTGTCCCCGAGGCCCCTCTGCAAGAATGAAGGCAAAATCACAGCACTGGAATTTGTCAGGCTGGGATGAAAAATTGCTATATAGTCACTGCGTGTGAGAATAACTTGACATGTTCTCTTACAAATGAAAATGTTCCTTTTCAGGTGAAGCAGCATCTTGAACATATATTCTCCAAAAGAAATAGTTCCAACCAGATGACTGTTTCTATGACACTGGGACTACAGCCGTGGATGGCAAATATTAAAGATAATCAGTATGTTGCGGCCAAAAGAGCCATCGAAACAGGTTAGACTTGCGGTATCTCGAGTTGCCAGTTTACTGTGGGACCAGGTGTGGTGCCTGGTGGGGCAGTGGAGAAGGCAGCACGTTCCAAATTTCACTCCGGCCCTCCTTTCCACCGAGGCCACGTCACTGAGTGCCATCTGCGCACAGGGCTCTTCATACACACTGTCCCACCGCCCCTACCAACAGCCTCCCCTGGTTCATAAGGTCTGGGGGACATTAAGGAATTTGCTGAAGGGCACTGAGCTGGAAGTGGCAAGGCCAGGATTAGGGTTTATGTCTGGAAGCCTGAATTTGGGGCAAAATGGTGGACTTGAGAGCCTCTGATACTTACGGAAGTGATGGCCAACATATAAAAATGTCCTTTAAAGGGCACAGCTGAATTTGCGTGAAAGTAAAGGAACTCTGGGGTTTAAAAATGAGGAAGGAGCTAAAATTTCATGGAGGGAGCAAGCGTACGGTGGGCCGCCCTGTGGGGATTTTTTCTTCATCTTCTTTCTTTAAATTAAATTAATGAATTAATTTATTTAGAGAGACCATGAGCAGGGGAGGGGCAGAGAGAGAGGGAGAGACAGAATCCCAAGTGGGCTCTGTGCTGTCAGGGCAGAGCCCAACATGGGGCTCTAGCTCACGAACTGTGAGATCATAACCTGTGCCGAAACCAAGAGTCGAACGCTTAACTGACTGAGCTTGTCCAAGGGTAGAGAAGCTTAACTGACACTCTGCTTGTCCAAGGGTAGAGAAGGCAGCAGAGCTGTACTTGGCATTTTCTCGCTGGTCCCTATTTTGATGGCACATACTTCCAAGTCCTGGGCCGGATCGTGTGGTTGGTGAGCATGGGACACGTGCCTGGGCCCTGGCTGCCTGGGTGGGGAGAAGGAATACCTAGTCTCTTTGGCTTCTGACACTGCCCACAACTGCAAAGTAGGGGAATCTCTGAAAAGCAGGGGGATTTTCAGAGTCTCCCCAAAAGCCAAGTGGGAAAACACTGACACGTGTTTGTATGGACCTGTGGGCGTTATATCCTGGGAGAGGCCTCAGGCCAGGCCCCACAGTAGTCAGAGCTGAGCTGGACTCCGAGGTTCAGACCACCCGGGAACAGTGACGCTTTACCAGGGTTATCCGTACCAAGGACAGGGACATTACAAATTAGTGGCTCAGTTGGTTCAGGATCCGACTCTTGATTTCACCTCAGGTCATGATCTCACGACTGTGAGTTTGAGCCCTGCGTCCTATTCCACACTGGATGTGGAGCCTGCTTGGGATCCTTTCACTCTCCCTCCCTCTCGAAATAAATAAATAAAATTAAGGTCAATTCCTCTTTCACCACTGTTTATTTAAAAAATATAGGGGCGCCTGGGTGGCGCAGTCTGTTGAGCGTCCGACTTCAGCCAGGTCACGATCTCACGGTCCGTGAGTTCGAGCCCCGCGTCGGGCTCTGTGCTGACGGCTCAGAGCCTGGAGCCTGTTTCCGATTCTGTGTCTCCCTCTCTCTCTGCCCCTCCCCCGTTCATGCTCTGTCTCTCTCTGTCCCAAAAATAAATAAAAAAAGTTGAAAAAAAATTAAAAACAAATATAGTAAAAGTAAAACCATAAAAATTAGAGGGCAGGTCTGAGGACAGTCTGAGACTTAGAGCCAGAGTTGTCTACGCAATCATTCCTGCTGCTCCGGCTGTCGCAGGGTGTTCCCACCAAACTGTGGAAACCAGGAAGAGAGAAAGAAGAGTCAGGAAGGTAAGTGCCCTGCCAGCTGAGGAGAGATGTGGGATTGAAATGTCCAGGTCAGCAGTAAAGACCTGAAATACTCTCACAGGAACGCATAAGGCACCTTTTGGTTTATTTGTGTGTACAGCCAGTTCTCCTAGCAAAGTACATCACCTGGACTCACATTCACACCTCGCTCTGTGGATAAAGAATATGTGGCATGTTATCTTTTGTGTCTTTATTTTGCATCTCCCCTCCGTCACTGGCAACTTGTGCCCTAGCCTCGACGGTTTCAACTCATGTCTCTAGACCCTAGGATATCCATGACAACTATTCCATGGGCTACCTTGACAGCTGAGCACAAAAACAACAACATTCAGGTGACAGTTGAATACAGCTATTTATTTATATATTGCTTATAAAACCAAAGAAGTCCCGCTTTCCAAATATTTAATTCATGAAGCAACCATAAAAGTAGGTACATTGTTTTGCAATACTCTTGCCAGAAATGCATGACCTCTTCCAATCATGAGAAAATATCAGACAAACCCAGATGAGGTTACAAAACAACTGATCAGTACTCTTCAAGAGGGTCAAGGTCATGAAAGAGAAGGGAAGACTGAGAAAGTGTCACAGACCAGAGGAGAGTTAAGAAGCAGTTAGGATTCTGGATTGGATCCTGGAATAGAAAAAGGGAAAGATTGGTGAAATTCAAATAGGTCTGAATTGAGTGAATAATATTATTCCAATATTAATTTCTTATTCTTTATAACTTACTGATAGAAGATGTTAACTGATATAAGATGTTAACATTACAGAAAGCAAAGTGAGGAACATATGGGAACTCTGTACTATTTTTGCAACTTTTCTATAAAATTTACAATTCAAAATAAAAATTTTATTTAAAAAGTTTTTCTTAAACATTTATTCATTTTTGAGGGGGTGGGCAGAGAGAGAGAGGGGACAGAAGATCCGAAACAGGCTCTGAGCTGACAGCAGAGAGCCCGATGTGGGGCTTGAACTATCAAACTGAGATCATGACCTGAGCTGAAGTTGGACACACACCAGACTGAGCCACCCAGGGGCCCCTTAAAAGGTTTCCCCCCCCCCCCCCCAAGTAGGTAATTGTAAAGAAGGCAACCATGGTTTTCTTCTTGCCTCTAGTGACTATTTTAGAATATAAACTGCATGATATCAAGAAGCTTACTTCACCCAGGCACCAAATTTAATGGTTAAATACAAAAGAAAAATAAAAAAGAGAAAGCAAACACTGCATATGAGAAGATCGCTAGGGGTAGTGTTGTCATTATTTTATTCGAATGCCTTCTTTCCTGTGTTTCAGTATTTGGAACAGAGCCAGACATGACCCGGGATGGCTCAACCATACCG